TGATATTAATACATCAAAAGGTAAGACTCGTGGCTTTACAAGTTCCGGGGATTTTGTCGTTGTAGAGGTCGACTTGTGACTAGGTGCAAGACTTCTCATGTATGCAGGGAAGCCCATACACATCCAGGATGGATTCCGGTATATCTTTAAGAAAAGAGTACTTGCAAAGGAATATTGGTGCTATCGAGCAACTCTCAGGATGGATTCCGGAAAAGCTGAGAATGTGAGAGGGTACAATCACGCTCCAGATGAGGCAAACGCAACAGCGGAGAAGTTTGTTTCTCGCTGGTATGAAGCAGCAAGCATCACTGGAAACCACTTCCGTCCCACAGATTTATGAAGAAGAAAGCAGAACACTCGCAGATGAAGGTATTACACAGCTAATTTGAACCCTGGAATTCCTGCGTACGGTAATGATCAAGGACGGCTATACATTAATTCTTCAAATTCACTTCCCAGGATTTCCTTTGGATTCCATCCCATTCTTTGGGAAGATGAAGGACTGGTTATACAGATCTTGCTCGAAAACTTTCGATTCTCTACCGGCTAAAAGGTCAGGGATAACTTTCAGCGAAGGATTAGGTACAACCGAGGATGGCAAGGATTTCCCTCTGGCATCATGGAACCCGATCGTGTTCTCGTCTTTGGTACTCGTGATGAACTGGAGGAGCTGGCATCGTGCAAAGTCATCTTTGCCGATGGAACTTTGAAGGTAGTTCCAAAGCTGTACCACCAATTATATTAGGTACATGACCTTCTTCAAGATGGGTTCTATTTGCTCCTGTACGCTCTTCTGCCCGATGAGATTTGCGAGACTTACTGTTGAACGCGGTGAAGCAGAAGGTAGAAGTGCATAGTCTGAATTTCCGTCCCAAGAAAGTATTTTTTGACTTCGAATCGGCTGCTTTGAAAGCATTTCGGCATGTTTTCCCTGTTGCTCATTTGAAGGGATGTAACTTTCATTTCTATCAATGCCTCATCAGAAAGGTCCAGGAATTTGGACCCGTGAAAGCCTATCGTGGAAACTCTTCTGTCAAGAAGAGTTTCTCACTGCTGCCCTGGCCCATGTCCCATCGGAACAAATCGATGACGGGTGGCTCGTAGCCATGGAAGACAGAATATCCAAATATCCACAGTTGGAGAAATACAATGATTAATTTGTGCAGACCTGGTTGGAGAACACTGCAATGTCCCGCTCCGTATGGAATTGCAGCAATGAAAATTTTCATCGAACGGCAGATCCCGTATAAGGTTGGCACCACCGCCTGGGGCGAATTACAGGGAGATCCCATCCCATCATTCAGCAGTGCGTTGACATGCTGAAGTAAGAAAAGTCGCTCGTGAGGATTCGGATGTCCCAGCATGTTCACGGTGGAGCTCCGGTGAGAAGACGGCGGAAGACTCTACTGCATCAAGAAACTCTCTTGAAATTGAAGACTGATTTTGCAACTGGAGCCATTTCACTTTATGACTTCATGAGAAATGTTTGTGGTGTTCTGTCTTCAGAATAAATGCAGAGAATGGCGTGCTAACGGAAATGACAAGTGCATGACAAAATATTGGCAATGCTCCGTCATATTTAAAATAAGAAACCATATTCTTACGTCACCTCAATGGCTTGTCAGGTTGAACGCGTCTACAAACCTAGACGGCGACAGTTCGAAACCACGAGAGTCATCGGTGATATTTGGTAGTGGTATTCTAAGAACAACTGCAAAATCAACGACTTCCTGAGCTCATGAAGTGCGACAAAAATGCGAAGTGGGAAAATTCGTATGTGGGGAAGTAGTAACAATCCGAGACCAAAGCCGGCAAGCGGAAACAGAAATAGACCAGCGACTTTCAAGCAATTGATAAATATCTTCCCTCCCAATAGTTATTTTCGCGAAACTTTCAGATTGCATATATGAATGTCTCCAACTTTTAACTCAAATTTCATCCAAATTTGTTGTGCCAAAGCAATTCTATCAGAAAATACATTGAGAATGGACAAGAGCTCCTGCTGGTAGTGGAGTGGTGGACACACTTGAGCCCTGTCCCTAGGAGGCGGCAAAGCAGGAGGGTCGGAGCTCGAGTGTCTTCCGCTCCACTACCAGCAGGAGCTCTTGTCCATTCTCAATGTCTAACTTCTTTTCAATAATTGCTGATAAATTTGTTGCGCCGAAACAATTCTGAGTGAAATTTTGAGCTATAAGTTTGGAAACATGTGCAATGTGAAAGTTTCGCGAAAATAACTATTGGGAGGGATGATATTTAGGTTGAAAGTCACTGGTCTTCTTTTTCCTATACCCTGTTGATTACATTCTCCGTCTGCATTCGTTTAGTTACTGGAGATTGAGGGTGGTTTCAATGTGCCATTGTCAAGAGACACTGAAGTAAACGACGCAGCCATAGCCTGCACTCAAGAGGGAATGCGATAAAGAAGGATTGACTGAAGGTGTTCATAATGATCCGGTTACAACTCTGGTCATTCCGGTTTACTTTTTGAGAAGGTGGAATATGGCAGAAAGGTAACCGACGACGCTGAATGCCGTCGACTAGATCTAGAAGCCGTAAAAATCTCATCTCAGATCACAGCGAATTAAATTGGACAGGATAGGGAACTAAGAAGTACACCAAAATCAAGAACATCAGGTCATGGATGAAAAGGTGATGAGACGTGGAGGAGTAAAAGAGCAGCAAAAAGTGAGGCAATGAACAAGACACATTGCTACAAAGAGCATCATCTATGCCTGTGACTTGCGAACTGTCCTCCCGGTCATCGCCTGCATCGTCATCCAGCCCGTTCTGGTTTTGTTACAGGGCGTGCCTTGTACTGTAAGTCTGTGCAATTGGACATGTAGGGTACAATGCATGTAGGGCTCAGGAAGTAATTTTGGATTTTTTTAATGGAACCAAACGAATGAGATGAGTTTCCTGCCTTCCAAACATAAATTCCTTTTTTTTTGTTAATAGCAAACCGTGACCGACGGTGAAGTAGTCAATAAACTCCTGTCTATTCCTGTCAGCTCCTATCTGCCTCTACACCGAATACGGCGAAAGTAGATTAGATAAGCGAATGAGAGAGTTTTCCAAGAAATGGCAGGTCGTAAATACGGATGAAGGAAAAACTTGGGGTTGATTGAAGGCAGGCAGAGGATGCATCTAGAGGACATACGTTGGAAAATCATCATGTCATAGCCAGCCCCAATGTAAGAAGTGATTCGTTCTCACAAACCTAAAGGGCGTAAGCTCCTTGAAAAGGAATGCAAACGGCACCATCCTAAGCCCTCAAACCTGTATCTTTCTGCAAATGGAGATTTTATGGAAGTCCGTAAGGCAGTGCAGAAAGGGAAAGAGAGTGCTCATATTCATTCACTCATATTCGTTTTCTTACGTACGTAAGTGTTGTTAGACATCCACGCAAAATCGGTCCATATCTCATAATTACGTGGCCTTCCCTTTTTTTTAAGGAGAGGAAGGGGGTGGAAGGAAGGCCTTCTGAACCTTTTTCAGGGGACGTCCCCTTAGGTTAAATAAATTCTGGAAAATCAGCTGATGAGGGTCGAGGAAGGTAGAGCTCTCTTTTTTATTTTCGTGAGCGTGAGACAAATCTGCCATCTATTTTTTGAAGGTGCAAGGAAACAATTATAATGGACCTCTATGACGCCAACTTTTGGCTCAAATAGCATGAAAACGCGCCGAACGTTTTAACATCCGCTTGCAAATTCATAACACTAGCGGCCTTCTCCGTGGGATGAACTGAGGATTTTGGAATCGATCTTGCCGTTTTGGAGATACTGAGATCAAATACTAGTCAGTATTTGGTGCGGTACTTATAAGTACTATCATTAGTAGCAGATCAATAAGTGGATGGCATTGATATAAAGTTAATATGTATGGGATTGAGCGTTTAGGAATCCGAGAGCGTTTTTTTCCAGCCAGCCCAAATCAAAGGGTACTGCGCCCCCTAAGAAGAGTAAGCCTACCCTAAAATTAAGGAACGCTCGACCTCGACACGTGGTATCCAAATGGGTGTTATCGCTTTTTGATACCACTAAGCAACCTTGAACATATAATTATCCTTATTCTGGTACACATATACCCTTCCTTTTCGCATGAGGTCATGATCAGATGAGCTTCCATTTGCGGCATGAACATTACACGCGAAAGCGCACAAGGTTCCCCTAGACGATGTTTTGTACTGTGTAGTCTGCGCACAAGCATTTCCTGATGTTCGCTTCCACTAACAGTGGATTAACTGTGGAGCTCACCTTCAGTGGCCTCCAAAATGTCCGGATTTTGAGCAAATTCCAGGTAAAAGCCCTACTGATGCTTCAGTATCTAGAGACAAAACAAGGAGAGTTGAAACAGCGAATGAAGCGTTATGGGAATCGTTCTCCATCTATTGCGAAAGCAGTTGCGCTTCCATTCTTCTGGAAGTGACCCGAATTATGTGGTACTACCAACTGCAACTACTTACCGTAATTGCTTAATGGTCACAATTGTGGCAAGTGTTAAAAAACTCACAATTCTGACAACATATGCATGTTCTTGGCTTGTTGGAATTGAGAGTCGTGCATTTTTTCATCCTGGGTGACCTCAGTTGCATCTTGGAACAGATATGCACTTTGAACCTTGACGAAATCGGTGCATCGGGTCATTTCGTGTCAAAGGCCAATGAACAAATATTTTTATTTTCATTCAACCGTAATGAATTTCCTCGAACATTTTAATGCCTTTGGGCATTGTGGAGAATAATACAACTTCAAATGTAAACCTCCTTTGCAAAACCATTCCCGAAATATTTCGTGCCAAAATGTTGGCAACATGGATGACGTTATGCAAGCAACAAAACGTGTACATTCTTTATTTCAATTGAGAATCTCAATTAAATTGCGGAATGAAAGCGTTCATCAGTATTCGGTAGGCCCGCTTTCTGAAATAAACTGACTGGGTCTCATATATTCAAGCCAATTGTTGCAGTTTTACTATTTGTACTGATCATTATTATGTTTATTTCTGTATCCTTCCGACAGAAAAGATTTCTAGTTAAGCAAACAATGTCCCAATCTTCTTCCCGGCAAATGGAGGTAGGCTGCTGTGTTTCCTTTTCTTTTCATGATTATCTACATCATCGAGTGTGTCCTTTTTCCATTTTAATTAGAAATTGTCCCTGAGGTGTGCGAGGCCTACCAGCCAACCAGAGCTTAGCAATGTACAATGTTCTTCAATATCGATTTGTCTAGTAGCACAGGATATACAGCATAATGTCAACACCACTATACGATTGGAAATTCAGCCATGAGAAATAACGCAGGATGAATGACTGAATTCATGAAGTTCATAGCATGATCACGTCGTCGACGACCTTATTAAAGTACGATTGTGCAATTTTTTTTAATTTTCCAGGAGGGTACAAATTCGTCCGATATTTTACATAGAAGGCCAGAGTCATTATAAACACGGGACAGATTGCAAATTGCAATTTAAACTAAGGTCATGATTTTGCAACTTTTCTTTTAGGGATTTATGGTCATTCATGTCGTTCTGTGCTCTGTGCTCACTTGGGTCCTGGAGCCTTTCAGATTCATGCGTCTACCCAATTTTTAGATTGTCTGCAGACCACAATGAAGTATTATTGTAGATAATATGACTCTTCATGGCAGACACAGTATGGGACGAGATGAGCTTCGAAATGTTATTTGAGCACATTCGATTGCATGTGTGTGGCAAATATTACTTAACCATCCTATGTTGTGAAGTTTAAGCCATCCAATCTGTACTGAGGAGACGAGCGCTGTTGCCCAGAGAAAACCTAAAGTCTTTCCGTTACCTTTCAAATATCCGTATTTGTCCTGCTCATAATAACTTTTTGCAAAACTTTTGTGCCATAAGCTTGTTGAAACAGGATTCTTTGACTTCGTCCCATTACATTCAGTCTACGTAAATGGTGTGATTGTGAAGGGAAAGCGGCAGACCGGAAGGCGAACGCTGGCACAGAGAATGATGAAGAAATGCGAATGCATCGATGGGGATACGTCCATCCGCAAGCTTCCCCGAAAGGAAGTTATGAAGGATCCCCAAAATCGATTGGCGAAGTACGAGATCGGCGGAAGTAAACCTGCCAGCGGATCGGGAAAGGTTCTCATGCTTGTTGGAGCAACAGGAGCGGGTGAATTCTATCTCATTCTGAATTTTGGCTGGTTGACTAGGATATTTTTTTGACGAGTCTGCTTTTATTGGCGCGCATGACAGTAGGGACGATATTCTGAATATAATTCACAGAGTCTAGACCGTTTCCCGATAATAATTAGGACAATGTTGTCAGAAACAGGTGTAGAACACAGCATTCTATGTAGTTAACCATAACCATGCGATGCTAACGGATCTGGACATATATTTACTTTTTAATATCTGTACTATACTTGCCCTAGGCGAACCATCAAATATTCACAAATATAAGTCCTCAAAGCACATGATGTTCCTTTTCAGCAAGCCATAGGTCGGATCCAATTGCGTTCTACTGTAATTGCTGCGTGGTCACCAGGAAAAATGTCACTAAAATTATTTCTAGTTTTCAAAAGAAGACTTACTATGTTCATATATTCAAGTGTGGATCCATGGTGTCAATTTCATAACTGAAGTGTGCTCAGTTCGGGTTATGCTTACTCTTGAAGGAGTTGATTATAAGGATGCAATAGCATGTTGGATGTTTGGAGAGTGTGTCCTGAGTGGATTTGCAAACATGAAGCTTATAGTTTTTAAAAATAAGGAAATAAAAATATATTGTCAAATTTGTTGAACGCCCCTCGTAAAATCAATTATGTCAGGCAGATACCGAACATGGGATCATTTCTTTAACGCTTGGTCTTTGGCCACTTTTTGCAGTTACGACTTCCGCTCGCTGTGAACAGCGTTTTTTTTTCTCTTAGGCAAGAGTACTCTCATCAACGGAATCGTCAATTACGTATATGGAGTGCGGTGGGAAGACAACTTCCGTTTCAAGCTGATCGTGGATGAAGGTGTGGAGCCTCAATCTCAGAGTCAGACCAAGTGGATCACAGCATACACCCTGCCTTATCGGAAAGGATTCATTCTGCCTCATACCCTTACCGTCATCGATACCCCAGGGTTTGGAGATACTGAAGGCATCCAGGCGGATGAAAATTTGACAAATCAAATTCGGGAATTCTTCAACAAGGGTGGGAGCATTGGGGTAGATCAGCTTGATGGAATCTGCTTTGTTGTCCAGGCCTCTCTGCCCAGACTCACGCATACCCAAAAATATATATTCAGTTCCATCTTAGCATTGTTTGGAAAAGACGTTGAAACAATTGTCAATTTGCTTATTACCTTCTGCGATAACAAGACGCCCCCAGTTTTAGCCGCCATCAAAGATGCCCACATTCCACACACAAGTTCATTCACGTTCAACAATTCAGCTTTTTCTGTCAGCTCATCAGATAAGCCCGATTCCACACATTTGGGGATGGCCTTTTGGAAAATGGGAACCAAAAGTTTCAGGAAATTCTTTAAGTCCTTCCAAAAAAACGATCCCGTCAGCCTGACTTTGACAAAGGAAGTCCTGGAGCAGAGGAAACACTTGGAAACATTACTGCAGGGCATCTTACCGCAACTTAAGACAGGTGAGATGAGGTCTTCCAATGCAGTACTGTTTGTGATGTGCCCATGTGGTATCTGAGATTAAAATCACTTTTCAGCTCTGGGAATGCTTGAGCAGCTGAGGGAGACACATGCAGCCTTGAGACAGCACAAAACAGAGATGGATGCAAACAGGGACTTCACATTCACAGTCAAGGTCTCAAAGCACAGAAAAGTGGAGTTGCATCCAGGGACGCATGTGACAAACTGCCTAAAGTGCTGCTTCACCTGTCACTACCCTTGTTATATTCCAAAAGACAAGGATAAGGCTAGATGCGCTGCGATGCATCATGACGATGGGGTCCAACGTTGTGCAGTTTGTCCTATGAAGTGTCTGCCCATACCTTTGCACGTCAACAACCAGTTTCGCTTCGAATTTTACGAGGAAGAAGAAACGCATACTTATTTTGAGGTGAAAAGGAAGTACGAGGCGGCAACTGAAAGACACTTGAAATATCAAGGGCTATTAAAGGCACTCTGCAAGGACTTCATTGAGGAAAGGATGAAACTCCTAGAGTTAACCAGGAAAGCGCACGAATGCCTGCAGGAACTCGAGCGCATAGCCCTGAAACCAAATCCATTAAGTATCCAGGAATACATTGATATTTTGATAGAGACCGAGAAACGAGAGGCCAAACTTGGCTACACCCAGAGGATCAAATACCTTGCAGACGCGAAGGAGAAAGGGCAATTGGCAGAGAAGCTCAAAGGCAATTTCAATCCATTCGAGGAATATATGAAGGACTTCGGAGAGAAAGGGATGGATATTTCTCTCTTCGATCCCGATCCCGTCAAAGATGAAGCACTTGCAGCCGGTGCCGAATACTGTACGAATTAAAAAACAGAATTTTCCTAGAAGCTCACAGGCGATTTCGATTCATGCAAGGAATACAGGATGTTCATGAAGGAATGAATTTTCGCTACTGATGTCGGTGGAAATGTTTCACACGTGTGTTCCCCTCAGGGCACAATTGCATAAAGCCGTGCCAACATCTCCTTTGACATGAATTAATTTTAAACAAATTGTAAGCATCAGAAACATCGAAAAACTGTCACTTGCGTTACTTTACGTAAACCCTTTACATGCAGTTCCGAAAGTAAGGAATGGATATTCGACCCATCCATCTCAACACCGTCAAAAATCGAACACCTGCATCCCAAGCATGGCAGGCATTGAAGATTAAATCTTACTTGAGCAGCAAGAGCTACATAAACACTGAGGGAGGCCGGTGACCTGAAGAGGGAACTTGCTTTTTGAGCTTTTGACAATCTTGGGACTCGCTTTCTCGTCACGACGGGTATTCTGGACGTGAACTATTCCGTGATCAGCCTCTTGGCGCCGAGTTAGAAGAATGTATTGGACGAAGAAGACCTTGTATCAATTTATATTCCATTTCACACGTGTTCATTCAAATAGATTTTCCACAATTTGTGCACCCTGATTGTGGTCAAACAATGCTCGGGACGAAGGACACCATCTTTAAACAATGTAAGACTCGGTCGTATTCTGTAGAAATGTATCATGAAGATATTAATATATGTTAATTTTACATGCATTTATTACTTACGTGATTATATGTTGTCCAAGGCCTCAATGCTTGAATGTAAACATGAAAGTTGACGGATTTGGCAATGTCTTCTTCACATAAGAGGAACTTCGGAAATCAAATATGCATTGATAGCTGTGAAATTAAACTAGGAGGGAGTCTATGCCTTCTTTTCTGAAAATATGGAAGCTTCAGGTCAAGCTAAGTCAGACAAAATTCCAAGGGAAGTAGCAGAACGAAAACCGTTGTCTATACTGTGTTATGTCATTAACATGACATGTTCTCCCTTTTTTTATCCATCCCACCAGGCAGCAAGATTGCAGAAATACCAATCGGCACGCAGCGCTAAAAACATTGTCTAATTCCATGAAGTATGTAAGTTCGTGTAGTGTACTGGGATTGTTTGCCAGTGCCACCTACTCTATCGATAAGATACAGCAACGCACTTCCCGTTTCGAGTTTTCATGCGCCGATGCATTTGAACCACTTCATCTCATAAACTTCGTCGTAAACGTGGAGTTCCTGATTTTAATTTAGCGGAGGAACGACGTTATTAAATGGATGTAGACTGGCCGTAGTAAAATAATAAACCTCTCCGGACGTTTTGAAGCAGTAAGGACCGTTACCAGTAACGTCAACAATCGCTACACCGAAAGGAAACAACGCGTTTGCGCTGTTAAGGTAGTAGGGGAGGAAAAATCGACCGTCTGGGATTCGAAATCTGAAAAGTAA